ATGGTATGTGTGGGGACTGGGGGAGCTTGGAGCAGAGTTAGGTGGGCTTGGACCTAGCCATCTGGGGTCATATCATACAGGCCCATTTTGACAATTTTGATGTTGTCCTATAAGCCATTGAAGGGTGTTGGGCAGGGAAGTGACATGTTTAAGTTTGAATATTAGATAAGTCTTTTAGGTGGGGTGGGGTGGTGGGGAGAGGATGGGCGGAAGGGGAGAGATACAGGCTAGGAGAGCAGTGTGTGGGGAATGAGAGGTGCCTATGCAAGCAGAGAGAAGAGGCCTAGCTTAAGGCACGGTGATGGTGGGGGGCAGCCGAGTGTGGTCTATTCTTGACTCCTCAACAGGGTCTGGGATGTGTCTGTGTCCAGGAGCAATGCATCCTCTCTCTGTGTCCCCAGCCTCCTGCACACAGACTAGCAGAGGCAGGAACTCCATCAATGTTGGAGGGACAACCAATGACGGACCTTTGCTTACCCATGTGACTTGACTCTGTGTCAGGATGCCACACTCACGGGGCTTGGGGGGAAGGGTGGCCAGAGACAGGGTGTGGGGTGTTACATTCAGGCTGGACTACCAGTTCCTGGGATTGTCAGTTGGTTTTGAAGGGCAGGACGTGAGTGGCCCTGAATCTCTGGGGCCAGTCCTAACTCTGGCCTTGGCTGGTTTCTGGGGTCACTGCCAGAGTGTCCTGGCCAGAAGCAAGGGTAAAACTGAAGGTTTTCTGGGACTTCTTGAGCTCTGTGGGTTGGCCCCCCTCCATGTAGCTCTGGCAGTGCCGATGGACAGAAGAGGAAAGACAGACCGAGAGCTGCTGTACAAGGTCTTTTCTTTGTTGTCATGGTTGGTTTGGTACATCTTAGCATCTGCGTCGTACAAAGGGGGAGCAACAGCCATGGCTTTTGGTCAGGTTCAGGGGGGCATGGGGGTTGCCCCTCCCCTCCCCCCAGGCACTGACACATTTAAAGGAAGCAGAGCAACAAGGACACAGCACAGTGGGGAGTGGATTCCCCCACGCAAGCAGGACGGTCATCCTCACCTGGGTCTCAGTAGGACCCCCATCCCCACCCAAGGGCCAGCAGGAGCACCTCTCATTCTCTTCCCAGTGAAGAGGGTGGGGCACAGGAGTGGGGATGAGAGCAGGGGACATGTGGGGGGAGTCATGTCCTCAGGCCTGAGAGATGTCCCGTCATCTGAGCCAGTCTGACCCCCAGCCCCCTGTGCAGTCAAGGGTTTGAGGAACCTAGAAGGATGGAGCAGTTCGGTGGTGGTGGTGGGCAGCCCTGCTGGCTGGGCGCCAAGGGCTCCCGGGGCTGGTGCCTCACCCCATTTTACTCTAGCTCTGAGCCTTTGGGGAGGTTGCTTTGTCCACCAGCTGTCCCACCTGAGAGGGACCTGGGCTGAAGAACTTCCGTTCTGTTTCTATTTCCCTTTCTCTCTCGCTGGCTCTCTCCCTCTCTCACAGCTGGGAGGGTCTTTGGACCTCCTGCTTGCCTTTGGAGGAGATGCCTTTGTAGTTAAGGACACTTTCTGGACCTGGAGCAGAGGATACACCTGTGTGGAAACTCTGGACATTGCCAGTGCCCAGCACAGGAGATCCAGAGAAGCACTTCCCTTCTCTCTGGTGGTCAGCTCCCAGGCACACAGCACAGCAGTGGACGTCCCTGGCAAGCGGGCATTTTGTTCTGTCTTCACCCACATGCAATGATTGCTTCTTCCTGTTCTCCTAGCTGGGGGATGTCTCCCTTGTATGTTGTGCGTGTCCATGCTGAATTCTGGGGCAACTCCTTCCCTGCCCCACCTCCTAAGTGTGTCACGTGCACACTGCCCCATTTGTGTGTGACACATTCTTCCCCCTCCCACCTTATACACCTCCCACCCCAGGTACTTCATGTGACCATCCCTCCCCTGCTAGAACACCTCACAAATATTTTGTGCTCCCACAAGTGTGTTTGCACATGACATCCTCTCTTGGGCCACATATTAGCCTCTCTCCACAGTAAGGTCTGTGTCAGGAATGATGGTCATCGTGGACCCAACCCTGGACCCAAGGGTCATGGTGGTATGCCCCAGGCAGAAATTCTCCCCCTGTCCCTGCCTCCAGGAAAACCTCCAGTCGTCCTGCTCAGAAGCAGGCTGGAGGAGTCTAAAGGAGTCCAGGATGTGCACCAGACTAAGCCAGCCAGCCTGGAAGGCACTCTCATATGGGAAAAGCCCTGAGCCTGCTCTGGGGGTGCAGAGGGGCTGTGAAGACTGTGAGGGATGCCGCCTGGGGATCTGGGGTTCCTCAGGCCTGCCTGGGATGTCTTGCATGGCTAGGTTTCCCTGCTCATCTGAAGCCTCAGTCTTCACTGTCCATCTGGCACTCTCTGTGCCCTGGCACCACCTTTGAGGTCTGCGGGCCCCTGTGAAGAGGGAGACCTTTCTGAACACTTGGGATTCACCCCTGTGTCCAGGTAGGACCTACGCACAGGGCCTGGGGAGGCCTGGGGCCCAGGACTGGGCTCTGCCTGTTTCTGCCCCAGGACCCCAGGGCTCCTGAGAATGACCATCCTGCCCAGGATAACAGACACAAACAGACAAGCAGACAACAGGGGTGCGAGGTGGCTCCCCATCACAGAAACAGGTACAGACACAGACATAGGTCCCCTGGGGGGACGGGACACAGGGGCACAGGGGAGGGGGTGTGGGCAGGGGAGAAGGGCAAGTCCAGGGAGCTGGAGCTGCTGAGGCCCTGCTCCCCAGAGAAGGGACAGACCAGGGGACTTTTCTAGTTCCCTAAACATATGGATTGTTTTGTCTCATCTTTAAAGTATTGCAGTCTAACTGATATGGCTTTAACTATTGGAAACAGACAGAGAAGACCCATGTCTCTCTCTGAAATAAAAGCATAAATTCGCTAAAGTGGAAAACCTGCAGAATGCAAACTGGGGCCAATGGGGCAGGGGCTTCGGGGCAGGCAAGTCGCCCCCTCCCTATCCCCTGCTTCTGGGGTAGGCCCCGGTGGGGGCCCAGCATGGCTTCTTGGGGCACTGCCTGGGTCTGTCCCAGTGGACTTCTGAGGACTTCAGGCAGGAACCCCCCAAGGGCAGGAGGACTCTAGGCCAAGGACAAGGTCTCCTCTTGGATGTGGCCATCTGTGACTAGTGGTTTGGGGGCCAAGAGGGGTCATCTTACCTATGTTCCTTCTCCCCAGGCACACGTCCTGCACACAACTGCCTTTTCAGAGCCAAACACATGCACACAACAGTCTCAGCACATCTGACAACTCTCTCAAACACATACTTCTACAACATCTAACACATTCTCATCACTCCTGACATACATGCTATTTTTGAAAACAAATGCAGATACTAGCTAACACATGCAAGCTCTGACACACATATGAGATGGTTAGTGCACACATATGACACAATCTCAACTCATACATACCACCTCAAACAAACATACATACACAAGGCTGCCTAACATACATCACACAGGGATGATGACTAACACACACACACACACAATCTCAAGACGCTCTAATCGTAGGCTTATATGTATAATCTCTGGACATACAATTGCTGATGCAGTCTCTGCCGTGTACATTCATGCATGCCTGGACAAACACTTTCCTCTCTCATTTGCTCCATGGCTTCCCAGTTCTCACACAACTTACTGAGAAGGAGGCCTTGGCAATTTGGGTTGGGGGGAACAAATGCCAGTCTCACACATCCCAGAGGAGAGTTTGTTCTTGGCCAATAAGATGAAAGAACAGATGCCTTCTGTCAACTGGGAACTGGCTTTTCCCAAAAAGTTTGGGGCTTTGGCCAGGAAGGGTCCTCCTGTGGACCGTGGGGCCCTGGAAGCACATGAACAGGACAAGGTGAGGAAGAGGGGTGGGTAAGAATGGGGGCAGCTTGGCTGCACCAATGGGGGAGTCCCATGGCATGAGCCATCGCTGCCCAATGGCTCCAAGTATTTTCTGGGGGGCCTGGGCAGCCCCTTGGCTGGGCAAGCCGGGCCCAGCCTGGCAGTGGGGCTCCAGGACCTAAGTGGAGTGGGGGGAAGAAACAAGGGGCTGCCCTACCCTGGGGCCCCTCCATAGATGAGTTAAAGTCCATAGAGGATCCATTTGGAGGGACTGGCTTGGCAGGGGCTAGGCCTCTTCAGGTGGGGGTTGGGAGAGGAATGCTCCTAGACTGGGTGTCATCAGAGGGAGGAAAGAAGGAGAGCCCCAGCCTCCTGCCCAGACCCAGGCCTGGCCAGAACAGAACAGGCCAGCCTCAGGCTAGGCCCTAACGGGACGGACCTACCCTGACTCCCTTCCTCAGAGCCAGGCCACTCAATGCCCCTGCCCTGGCCTGGAGGCCCACTGGGGTTTAGAGGCCAAAAGGTCAGCATGCTGGGCAGGGCTGGAATGTGTCATTACTTTGGCTGGCTGGGCACAGTGGTCCTCCTGGCAGTGGGGCGCATGAAGGAATGTATGGGGATTACCACACCAGCACAGACCTTAGGCTCCTGGAGGGGGCCCCCAGTGCTTCCTGTACTGGGTTCAATACCCTCTGCTGGAGAAAAGCTGTCTTCTCCTTTTCAAGCAACTTGGGAGTGAGGTGAAGGCTGGATACCCCGGGATGAAGGGAGTGTGAAGAGTGCTGAGGGGGAGGAGCCCCTGGCCAGGGAAGGGGGACAGAGGCCAACTGAGGTTTTCCCCTTCAGAACTGAGACTTAAATGAATAGAAAGAAAAGAAAGAACCAAAAAAAAAAAAAAAAAAAAAAAAAAAAAAAAAAAAAAATATACTTGCAAGCTACATATAAGACAAAGGACTAGTATCTACAATATATAAAGAACTCTTACCATTCAACAAGACAAGCTATAAAAAATAAGCAAAAGATTTAAACATTCATTAAAGAATATATATGGATGGCAAATAAGTACACAAAAATATCAAAAAAAAAAAAAAAAAAAAAAAAAAAAAAAAAAAAAAAAAAAAAAAAAAAAAAAAAAAAGTAACAAGTGGAGTGGGGATGCGGTGGGAGGGCCGGTTACTTCTTGAACATGTCCTGCAGTGGCCCGGGCAGGTATTTGAGCACCGTGTCCAGGATGCTCTCCTCCTCCTCCTCCTCCTCGTCCCCGCAGCCTGCCGGGATGGCCTTCTTGGGCCGGGTCAGGCTCCCTTCGCAGGGCTGCTCCAGGGCTGCCTTCTCCTCAGCCTCCTTCTCCTCCTTCTTCTTCAGCCCATACTGGGGAGGGGAAGGGTGGAGAGGGGCGTGAACAGGGCAAGGAGAGAGCTGGATCTCAAGGTCATGCACACGTGGCTGAGGCAGCTCATGGGAACTCCCTGTGAGCCCACGGGTCTTCTCATCTATAAAATGGGGATAAGGGCACCTGCCTTGTGGGACTGTGCTTGTCTTCAGTTGGTATTTAATAAAAGAGAGATGGTGCACGGAGTTTCCTTTAAAATTAATACCTGCCCGCATAATTTCTTTGCTCTTTTGAAATCCTCCAAGATCTGAAAACTGAATGTTCTCCCACATGCTTTGGGCCCAATTGTGGTGACAAAACTTGACTTGAACTGATGGAAGGCTACTTATAGCCTTGATTTATTGAAGTGCGAGCAGACAAGTATTGAACTGTTTGGCATAAGGTGGCAGCTGCAAACTCTCTGGGAGTGACACACAACAGTGCTCAGGGCGCTATAGTACTCTGCAAAAATCCCCAAATTCTGGGCTCCAAACTTGTTTGGTCTCCAGGATTTCAGGTGCAAGGTTGTGGACCTGTAGCAGCAAACATTAGGGAGCACTTACTATATCCACTACCCTTTTTAATCCCCATAACGGTCCTTGAGGGAGGTGTTCCTTGACACACATTTTTCTGATGAAGAGAGTGAGACTCAGAGAGAAGTAGGTCTAAGGTTAGAGCTGGGATTCAAGGGAGCCCGAGGTTTTGGGAGACCCTTTTAACCCCCTACATTCCAGGATGGGCAAGAGGGTGGTGCTGACCTTGTCTCGTATCTGCTGCCGGACCTTCTCACGCTCGGCCTCCATGCGTGCGTGCTTGGCCTTGCGCTCCTCTTCTTGCTGCCGAAGTGCCTCCTGCCGCTCCTCCTCCTTCTTCTGTGCATCAGGGTCCTTCTCCTCCTCTCCGCCCAGCATCTTCCCCATGTCCTTGGTGGCCCCTGTGGGGGATGGGTTGGGGAGGGAGAGGACAGGGTCATAGAAGCAAGCCTGGGGATCAGGGGGGGCCTGGTGTGCTGAGGCCCCTCCCAGCTGGGTCTGGACTGGGTAGTGGGCATGGGGTGCAGGGCTAGGGCCTCACCTCCAAGGGCCTGCTTCATGACGAAGTCCATGCCTACAACTCTGTTTAGTGTGCCCTAGCCAGCAGCCAAATTTGCATGCAGCACTTCAGGCAGGCCTGGCTTGGGGAGCTGTGGCAACCTGCAGATAGAAGAGTTGGGGGTTAGATGGGAGAAGCTTCTGCACAGGCAGGGCAGTGAAGTTGGGCAAACGAACGGTCACCCTGGTTCAGGCATCAGGTACCATCAGCCAGAGGCCAAGACCCAGTGCCTAGTACCGCATGGAAAGGGATGGAAAAGGGCTGTTTCTTGAGCACTTGCTATGTGCCAGGCACATATGTGCTGCCAAATGGCTTCTGATCCCTATTTAAAAATCTTCCTCTTGACCATGTTGCTTTAATTTGATCGAAGCCAGGAATGTTGGAAAAAGCCCGGAATTTGGACAGAGGCAGAGCTGGGTTCTAATGCCACCCTAACTCCTTATTTGCCATGTGACTTCCACGCAAGTTATCCAATCTCCTTGAGCCCCAGTTTCCTCCTCTATAAGCGAGAGATGGCCGTGCCTCCTTTCTCAGGGATACTGTGGAGACTGGAGAGAATTCCAGCCTGGGCCACTGCATCAAGCCCTAGAAGGAGTGAGCTTGCACTTGGGGCCCCAGCAAATAAGAGGTAGGCGAAAAAATGAGAACAGCCAGCTTACATGAACATATCCAGACTTCTGAAATTAGACAAATGGAGAAATAAGTTATTTTTATGGCATAAAACATGTAAGTTTTATAGCTTAATATTGATTTTTATTTTGAATTACACAGAGGGGGTTGGAGACACAATAATCTTCTTGGAGCTAAGGGCCTTTAAATTACCAAGCACTGGGCCTCATAACCACTCAGCTTATGTTTGTCCTCATTTCCCTCTCCCTAAATCACCGACTTTCAGTTTTTATTATTATTTTTTTGCCTCAGAAGATTTTCTCCAAATAAAATCTTAATGGGAATCTCACTATGCAAAATACATGAAAATGGAACTGTTCCAACTATAGTGGGAGGGGAAGGGTAGTGGGTAGAGCTTCCCTCTATACTTGGCCTCCTTCTTACCCTGTTCTTCTTGCATCCCTGAGAATTTGAACCCAGATGCTCTAACTCTTAGAGACTTCCTTTTTATCTTAACCATTCAGTTTCACTGGTGCTTTCATAGGCAAAACCACCACAAATCCCTTTTCAGGTATGGAGGGGGATATCCATGGGGATGGGGATATAACAGCCAAAGTGTCATGTACCTTGATGGTCAAATTGGGCCAGGCCTACTCCCCCAGGCCTTTCATTCTACATAGACTTGGGGTCTTTTTGATTTGCTAGGAGGATAAAGGGGTCCTGGGAAATGGTGGCAGAGGAGTCAGGCTGGATATTGCAACCAAGTTGAGTTCAAGGTCACTGGCTGTTCATTGATGATGGATTTTCCTCATTTCTTTCAAAATGAGAAAACATATTGACAGACTGAGATCTTTTCATAACCTGGGGCCTGAGAGTTTGAGGACTTCCACACGATCAGATCACCTGATAGGTTGTTTTGAGGAAAGTCGTGATGGAGTAGAAAACCATCCACAGGGACTTTGGTATCAGACACACCTGGTTTGAAATCTTGGCCCCCCCCCCCCAACCCTCACTGGCTGTGGCTTCCTGGGAAAGCTTCAGTTTTCTCCCTGCGAAATGAGGGAGTATTAAGTCTACCCTGTACTGATGTATGAAGGGGAAGAGAAGACACTGGTCAGGTGCCTGGTGTGTAGCAGGTGCTAGTTAATGTCAGCCATTGCTGACTGCATGTTTATGAGAATACGCCAGAAAGGAACAGGATTTCCAGGAAATGCAGGAGAACCCACCCTGACCTAGAATTCTGAGTTTGAAGGTGGCTCAGCTCAGTCAATCAAGATATTTTCATTTGACTAAAAACGTTGTAAAGAGACAGCATTTCTAAGAACAGGAAAAAAAGAAGAATAACTAAATGCTTTCAGGAACTCTTGGGTTCCTCCTCTGTGTTTACATTTAGCTCAAGGAATTGCCAGGTGGTGGTGGAGGATGCAGGACTCTAATTTGAGATGTTTCAAGTTGGTCCACAGGGCACCTAACTTGCTGCTCTGGGAAGTGTCTCTCCCGAACCAGATGATCTTCTGGGCCCTTTTCCCAGCCCTTCTTCTGAAGCGGTTCTGCAGCATTTGAACTGCTAGCCACCCCACTGTATCCTCCAACCTCTCTCCTTTCTTGCTTCTGTGACTCAGTTCTTTCCTCTCCCTCCTCTCCTACTGCTCCTTCTCCCCTCCCTTCCTTTGCTGCTGCTTTTCTTCCTCTTGCCTCTTCAGAAGTGTGTTCTCCAGGACTCTGACCTCAGTCCTTATCTCCTTTTCATCTCTAATCTTTCCCTGGGAGAACTCACCCCTTCCAGGGGCTTTATGATCGCTAACACTGATGACAGCTAGATGTCTTATCTGAGCACCAGACCCCTATATTCATTCATCCAGTAAGTATTAGTTGAGCACCTACCATGTGTCAGGCAGTGTGTTAGGCAATGGGGATATAGCAGTGGACATGACAGACGAAGTCCTGTGCTCGTGCAGATTACATTCTGGGAGTGTGTGTACTGTGAGTGTGTGTGTGTGAAACAGGCAATAAATAAGTCAAGAAATACACTTGCCTCCCTCTTGCCTGCCTTCCCATGGATGTCCCACGGCACCACTCAAACTCAACATGCCACTAGCAATCTGTTTTACGTTTGGTAGTGTATATATGTCCATACCACTCTCTCACTTTGTCACAGCTTACCCTTCCCCCTCCCCATATCCTCAAGTCCATTCTCTAGTAGGTCTGTGTCTTTATTCCCACCTTACCCCTAGGTTCTTCATGACCTTTTTATTTTCTTAGATTCCATATATATGTGTTAGCACACGGTATTTGTTTTTCCCTTTCTGACTGACTACACTCTGTATGACAGACTCTAGGTCCATCCACCTCACTACAAATAACTCAATGTTGTTTCTTTTTATGGCTGAGTAATATTCCATTGTATATATGTGCCACATCTTCTTTATCCATTCATCCGATGATGGACACTTAGGTTGCTTCCATCTCCTGGCTATTGTAAATAGAGCTGCAATAAAATAGATTGCTAGTGGGAAGCAGCCGCATAACATAGGGAGATCAGCTCGGTGCTTTGTGACCACCTAGAGGGGTGGGACAGGGAGGGTGGGAGGGAGGGAGACGCAAGAGGGAAGAGATATGGGGACATATGTATATGTATAACTGATTCACTTCGTTATAAAGCAGAAACTAACACACCATTGTAAAGCAATTATACTCCAATAAAGATGAAAAAAAAAAAAAAAAAAAACACCTCAACATGCCACCTCTCTGTCACCAAACCACCTCCTTCTCCAGACTCCTCTGCTTCCTGTATTCATTCAGAAAACTTTGATTACCAACCCCAAGCCCCCGCATGCAAAGTAATCTACTCAAGGGCTGAGTCTTCTCCGTGTTTACATCCTGTCACTCCAGGTGCCTCTTACTCCCAGCCTCCTGGGATTACTTAGCCAAACTTCTTGCGTCCACCCCAAGGTCCTGCTGCTGACTCCCAGCATGGCCCTTTTAGCTGTTAAGCAATTTCTCCACCCTGTCGAGAGATTCCCCTAAGCAATTTCTTAAGGTCCGACCTACTCCTACCCCGTCCCTCTCAGCAGGTGATTTCCTTGTCACTTTATGTAGCGAGGTGCAGCAGAAGGCTCGTGAGCTCTGGTGTCAGGCACATCTGACTCAGATCCTGAATCTGCTGCTTTTTAGCTGTGTGATAGTGAGTAATTGACTTAACCTCTCTGAGTCTCATTCTTCTTTATAGAGCGAGGATTATAATACCATTTTGAAGGCTTAGAAATAACCTATGAAATGTATTTTGCATATGATGCGGGCTCAGTAAATGGTTCTTGTTATCATTACCAAAACAATTAACTCCCCTCCTAACTCCCAAGGAAGAGGTCTCCCTCCTTCCCCCTGAAGCCAATCCATCTGCCTGAGCTCCAGATTTTCCCTCTTTACACCTTCTCCTTGATCCATTTTTCACTCCCTCTTCCTCACACCTTCAATCTCTTCTCCATGCGTCTCTTTTATCCCCTTCCTTCTCCGGCTCCTGCTCCGAACCCTATCTTTCTCTTAATCTCTGCCCTCTAGCTTCATGATCAAGTAGTTTCCACTTGGTGTCATCACTTCCTCACCTCCCAGTCAAACCCTTTGGCTCTGTGAGATCGGAGAGTTGCAGCCCCTGCACTGCTGCTGAAGCTGCCACAGTCAGAGCTGCCAGAGTCCTCCTAATCACCAGACCCAGGAACGTTTTCACAGCCCTCCTGCTCCTTCTCCATCCCTCTGTAGTATCAGAGGCTGATGAAGACCTCTTAGCCCCCTCTCACCCACCCTGCCTTTTCTCAGCCTTCTTCTTGAATTTCCTGAATTCCATATGACACAGCACTCCTGTGGCCATCATCTTACTGCTCAGATGGTCTTCTTTCTGTCTTTTGCTGACTCCCCCTCCCACTGCCCCTCCCTCTCCCACTGGGAAATCTCACCTACCCTTATGCTTTACACACTTCCTCAGTCACAGACCTCGCTCTCTCTCTCCCCAAACCTGCACATTTAACTCTTTGCTGGATATTTTTAAATTCATGCTATCCAAGGATCAACCGCATCCTTGCCTGCCCTCCCCACCAACCACCTTTTCCTTCAGCATTCTTTCTTCCAATTGCCTCAGTGGAAAACTCCACAGTCAGGGAATTCTTCATTCATTCATTCATTCATTCATTCATTCATTCATTGACTCACACTACAAACAGGCTTTGGGCATCTACTATCTGCCAGGCATTGTTCTGAGTGCTGGGGCTGTGGCAGGGGACAAGGGAGTCATAGCGTTTGTTCTCACAGCATTCAGTCAGCTGGGGAGGTAGACGCTGGGCAAAAACCACACAAGGAATTGGCAAGTTATAATTGGGACGGGGTGCTCAGGAAGAATCCAGAGATTATAGCTCCACAGTGTTTCCTGCATCCACA